CACCACCACCACCACCACCCCTACCCCTGCTCAGCAAATTCTACCGTATTGCGAATTTCTTAAGATCGAAAGTGATAGCCCCAGCGGGGTTACGCCTCTGTACATAGGATATAGGCAAAGGGTAACGTATTGTAGATGATCTAGGCGTGGATGGCCGTTGGACCTTGAAGGGATCTACATGACCGAGCTTAAGGTGATGGATGAAGTCCAGTAGTGGTGTGGTGAGGGTGCTTCAGCACCCTCTCTGGTTGTTGCTGGTAATGCAGTGTCTACTGTATGGCGGCGTGCGCATGACTACGGTTTAAAACTAAAATAGCTACCCTGTTTCCGTGCCTGTTATCTTGATACTTGTTGATAGCTAATGATGATACAAAATAACTTAAATAAAGTTTATTGCTCGTTCCGACTTCCCACACCCAAAGGTTTTGCTGCGTCTATGAGACGTTGTTTAAGCCAGTCAGTAACTGACAGTGAGGCCTGTCTTTTGTAGGTTTCTGAAACTTATTTGTTCCCATTTGTAGTCTGAGGCTTTAAAAGCATGCCGAGTGAAAACTTTAAATGAAGTAAAATTAATGTTCTGAGTACGGTAGCGTATGAAGAAAGTTACAACAGTTGCAACAAGTATTACTGTGCCCTCATGGTAATCAGTGATCAGGCCATACTGAAGCTGTCCCTGAGTTTCTAAAAGCTGTTCATTTCTTGGTGTTTGGCGTAAGGTAGGAATGCTTTCAAGCAAGGGTATAAAATGAGATGTACAGTGGAGAAATATTTCAGTGCTAGTTACACATAAAATAATCAGCAACTTTTGTAAATTGTTCCAATCTCTGCCACTGTTGTTTGTTTTATGGTTGGTACAGAGAACTCTATATTATAGCCATAAAGATGACTTGTCAGCACATTTGCCAAGGTATGTCAGGACAAGGCGGCCAAAATACTGTTGTGTAACACGTTTAAAACTCATCCAGTCTGAAATAGCAGATTAAAGAAGGGAGTTGGGAAAGAAAGATGTTTAAACATGCTGAACAATTTCTGTGTGTCTTGAAAAGAGGACCAAATGAATATTCAGCTTTATCTGGGGGATTGCCGTGATTGTGCTTTGATTGGCCGGCTGCCCGCCTGCTGCCCTCGTACACATGGTATCCCATGTGTCCGAGTAGCCGCGTCCGCGTCTGGGTTCTCCATGCGTGCTGTCATCACGTTTCCCAGCATCCCTCTCTTCCCCTTCAGTGTTCAGGCTGGGGAACACCGTGAGCTCGGTGGACGCGGCGGCCCATGCACTGCAGCTGACGGACCCGGTGCTGCAGCTCTGCCTGACCGGCGCCCACCTCAGCCGTGCCCTCTACTTTGCGTGTGACAATCTGCTGTGGGCCCGGGCGGTGGGCTTGGCCCCCGGGTTTGACAAGGAGCGGTGGGGCCTTCGCGCCTCCTCCTGCTACCTCCTGAGCCTGCTGCTCAGCCTGCTGCGGGACGCCTACGTTCTGGCCCGGCTGGCCGCCTGCTACGCCCGGGAGCGGCGGCGCTGCCGCCAGGCCCCCCCACCTCCCAGCAGCACCGACAACGGCTCGGCCTGCTGCCACCCCCCAGGTGACGTGCTTCCGTCTGACCTGATGGAGGCACTGTGGGCCAGCCCAGCGGTGACCCTGGACGTGGTGAAAAATGCGTGTGACCTCTTCATCCCGCTGGACCAGCTGGGCGTGTACCGGAGCGGCGCCGGTGTGGTGGGCCTGTGCGGCCTGCTGTCCTCTCTCATAGGAATATTAACACTGCTGGAGCCCCGTCTGAAGCTGAAGCCGTGATGGTGCAGAACTCCAGAGGTCGGCTCTGCTCCGATCGTATCTTCTCACGGCAGTGTGTTCAGCCGGCGGCTCTATTACTGGTGCAAGAGGTCGATTTTCTTATTCACGAGGGATTTCTTTCCAGTGTTTGTCTAGGACTAATGTCAATAAATCTGACAAAAGTCAGATGATCACACTGATCTGGCAGTGGCAGTGTTGTTAGAAACCTGAATAAAATGAGCTGCTGTGTTTCAGTGCCTCAGATAATGACCGGACGGGGAAACAAGCATAGGGAGCAATAAAACTGGCATTATTCCTTTGATAAAATACTGTGTGGCTAAAATGGTGAAAATCCCCTATCTAGCATACAGGGAGATATTCAGTGATGTGATAAAGATGAAGCACTTTTTCATGGAAATGTGCAGCAGCACAGATTTGCAGGCAGATTACAATATTAGCCGGGAATGGAAATAAATCTTGAATCTTTTACAGAGGAAGCCAAGCTGAAGCGTGCGGGTGGACTTATGGATTAACTTACCGGCAGGTACATTGTGCTTCAAACAAAAAAACTACTGTATGGAAAGTGACTTTAACCGTGGCTGCTTTGTTGGGAGCATTTGATTTATGCAAGCCTCTTAACGCTCATATCTACACATTTTGGGGTGTCCCGTTTTCTACAGTACACTGGTAACTGTAACTGGTTCTGCACTGCCTATGGTTCTACCTCACATACAGCCAAACGAGTATGTCTTTTATAAACCAGCATGCAGTCTGCAGTCGTATCACTTTTCTCACTTGATTTGTTGGGAGATTGACAGATTATTATTTTTTTTTTTAGATTTATATTTTGTCTCATAAAAAATTAAAAGCCCATTCAGCTGTTTGCATGTTATGATGACTCTTTGCAGTTGCAAAAAGGTAAAGAACGGTCTACATGGCTCTGAGACTGAGCAGCCACTGCAAAGAAAGCGTGACATACATGTTTAATGAACTGGAATCCTGCTGTGAGGAGTCAATATTTTCATGTGATGAAAATGCTAACCTTATTATCTGTCTGAGGATGGATGTGTATGTGTCATGATATAGATTATTTAATTAAGAAAATTTAAATAACTTTAATAAAATTTCAAAATTGATTCATCTTTCATCTGGAAATGTTGTGTACATCTAGATAAATGCACCCCCCTGTCCAGAAATCAAAATTTAGCTGCACATAGTTGCAGTTCAGATTTTGGATGTTTAATGAAAACTACTACCTGCTGACCATTGTGTTTATGTATTTTTGAATACTGCATTCTGAACATTTTCTCAATCACATTTTTCATAATACACATTTTTTAGCTGCCAATTACAGGCAGTGCCCAGGCCACAAGTTCTGTTCTCTATGTCTGTCAAATTTGTAGGTAAGTCGGGGAAAAAATGATACAGAACATTGCAAATATGCAGTAATAAGTGACCACTTACAGCACTTTTATTGAACCTTGAGTCTCACAAGCATCACAAAGTAGTGCATGCATTCGTTATTCTGAATCATTGAATTTAAACCCAATTTTTTATAAGAGGCTTTATGTCAATCTGTGTCAGGTCTGACTTTAATCTGGGGACTGACTGTATAGGTTTTTTTTTTTTTTTTATTTAAAAAAATATAAATTTCAATATTTTATTTTAATGATGAATAGTTTGATTTTTTTTTCTAGTACAGTGGTACCTCAGTTCTCGAACTCATTAGAACTCAAATTTCTTAAAAGTCGAACCAAACATTTCTAAAAAAAAATTACCTGGAACTCGATTTGAATCTCAGAAGTTGAACCGTGAACACCGACCTAAGATAACTTGCACACACGGGGAAATGAGTCACGCGACACGTCTCTCAGCGGAAACAAAGGGTAACGCTTCAGTCTCAGCCTCGCATTCGCTGTGATAGCATCGTGCATGTTTACACTAGCTCAGTACTTATATTTAGACAGTAAAAATACATTGACAATGATAGACAACAATAATATAGTAACAGTAATTATTATACAATAAAATACATTTAAAAAAAGATTTCTAATTATTTTAATATCATTAATAACAAACCATTAATGCACTTAATTATAATAATACTGTCGTGCGGAGTGGGGAGGGAATGGAGACAAAGGCGCAGACGTCACAGTAGCGGGGAATATGGGGTTTAATTACAGGTAAGGCAGGCAAAACGCTGGCAGACTATACAATGACCGGACTGGGGAAACAAACTGAAACGCGGACTAAATACAGAGGAGTAATGACAACAACCAGAAACAGTTGATCACACATGGATTCCACACGGGGTTAACGAGAGGGCGTGGCACACGGAAGGAGCGGACGATCGGGGTGGGACACATTGGGGTTTTTTTAACTTTACATATTGTTTGGATACATTTATCTTCTTACTTTACAAATTACTATTTTGATAAATGTGCTTAGATGTGTTTAGTACAGTATATGCTCTTCTTGATTTATCCTGTTCATTTTGTGTTTAAATGCTAAAAAAAAAAATCATATTCGGTGTAATTTTTTGGGGCTCGGAACCAATGAATTGGTTTTCCATTATTTCTTATGGGGAAAATTCGATCAGAACTCGAACTTTTTAGGAGTTCTAAACGAATTAAGTTTGAATTCTGAGGTACCACTGTATTTATTATATTATTATAAGAGAATATACTTCAGCTTGGTGCCAAAAGCATCGTCAGGCCTAGCCTGGTGGATCAAAAGTCCTGACATCACCACTTCACATTGAGCTTGGTTTAAAGAAGCAGAAAATGGAGTTGACTTTTTGGATTTGCATTTGTAATTTTTCCCTGAATACCTTGGAGTGGTGAGTGAAGAGCAGAGTGAAAGATTTCATCAGGACTTGGTTAGAAGGCACCAGGGAGGCTGGGATGCCGGTATGATGGCCGCGTACTGCTGCATGCTTCCTGGGGAACCTCCAGGAAAAGCACAGACACAAAGGCACAGACACAACGGGCCACAAAACCAAGCTGTGGAGCAAAAGAAAAGCTAAAGCATCAAAAACTAGAGAAGTTATGTCAACCAATGATTATGCAAAGTAATTTTCTTTGTTTAAAAATATTTGACAATATTTTCATGCTAAATTTATTTAGAACGATAGTTACATTAATAGTGTCATTTGTTGAATTTTAATTAAATTTCTTTTAAATTTTATACGTAAATGTGCCATAATGGAAACACGTGATGTTTGTGATGTTCATGATTAAATTTTGCAAACCTGTGTAATATTTTGACTGCCCCATGCAATGAATTGTCTTTGAGAACCAGGCTTATCTGGTTGTTTGCCAGAGTCACCCCTTCTTTCAAACATACTGACAATCCTCATGGATTCAGTGAATCTTACAGGAGCCTCAGCTGTAGCCTGATAAGCTACGTCATAACAGTTTGATTATTCCGAGTTAGCAGGCTAAAGTGTATAGACCCATACCTCCTTTACACATTGGGACACCGTAAAGGGGACATACCCCAAAAAAGGTAGAGCAGTTAGGAGTCTGAAGGCAAGCAGGCCAGCTTCTGAGCCTGGAGGCCAATGCACGCCCCCTTCCAGGCTCAGCTGAAGAACCTGTAGAGCAGGGGTTTCAGATTCTGTCTGTAGGGAGAGGTGTGTCAGTCACATAGCACCGTCACCCCTGGGGAAATGCTGTTTTAGTGCAGTGCTTCTGAATCCGATCCTCGGGGATCCCAAGACGGTCCATGTTTTTGATTGCTCCCAGGTCCCGGCAGGGAAAGAGTAAAAACGTGGACTGTCTGGGGGTCCCCAAACACCAGGCTGAGAAGCGCTGCTGCTGTAGAGTATTCCAACGGCCATACCTGTCAAGATGTGCATTTGGTGAATTGGACTCCATTTCTTAGGAAAAAAATTCTTTGTTTTTCCATCTCTCTCCAAATTGAACAAATGCTTAGTGTTAATTTCAAAACTTTCATCCATTTCAAATGTATCCTTTGTAGGATTGTGGTGAGCCAAGAGCATTTCCCAGCATGCAATGGCCACAAGGCAGAGGGCTTCCCAGAAATGATGAGTCCATCATAGGGCACAGACTCACACAGAACCACATCCTACCAGCAAACCAAGGACACCAATTCATCCGACGACATGTTTTTGGAGTTGCACACTTTTTATGTTCTACGAAAATATCGAACTGAAAAATAACCTAAGCATCAGAGTGGAAGTTGGGCATGATGCCCAAGTGATGCGATAGGTGAGGCCTCAGATCCCTGGTGGGTGGGATTATCATGCTCTGGCCAATCAACGTGCAGTTTTCTGATGGCTTACATTAATTTCCATTGAGTTAAAAGAGACAGTGACCTACACTAATAATCTCACCACCATTGCATAGTAAGCATCAGTGCTCCCATTACAATCTAGCTGTCAGAGACCGGGGGCCTGCATCAGGAAGCTGGATTTCATGTTTAGCCAGAAACTTGTCAGATTTAAGGTACCCCAGTTTAAATGACTATGTTCACTTACATTTCGCCCAGACTACCTTAAATCCGACAAGTCATCTGGCTAAACAAATGATACAGCCCCCAGGCTTCCTCACCCTTGGATAATTAGGTATTATGATTAATGATAGGATTGGCATTTGCTGCTTTTGGCTGGGCTGGGTTTTCATTTCCCCATTTCTCTCTCAATTGTCTAATCACACTTTGTTTCTTTTTCGGTTTTCTCTAGGGAGCTATTTATCAGAATCGGACATTTTTATGCTGCGATACCTGTATGCTTCATGTGAGTCTGCCCACTCAATGGCAAGTTATAGCACTTCTGATCACAAACCTGAGGTTTTTAAATCAGGGTTTGTGATACTCTTTTGCCTCACAATGACCTTTACACACCTTATACATACTTCTGGGTCAATTACTGGAAGCTCAGCCTGGAAGTATTTCTGCCTCAGTTGGCACCATGACAGCTCAGCATTTATTACGGGCAAAACAACGTCTGTCAGGGATGTAAGCACGCCCACTTTATGCCAGGGGTCATCAGCAATCAGACAGTGACCGGCTTCACTTGCAGAAAGTTGCTCAAAGAGGAACCCGCTACCCAAATTGTGAAACATTCATGGACATTTTGGCGTCCTGCGGCTCTTTACTTCATCGATTTGTAAAGTTCATCTCCCGGGTAACAGCAGAAGTTGGCATGCAGTAAATCTCAGGTCCAAAGCTCGAAAAAGGGCAGAGGCTCACAGATTAACACTGTTTAATTAGCACTTTTTTTCTTATTTTTCCAGATTCCATGTACTGAAGTGATTCTAAAGGTTAATGAATTAAAAAGCAAATACCTTTCTACAGACTGAACACATGAAATCCCATTTATGGTAGCTGCCCTATGTCCTAAACAGACTCCTTACTGCCATCTGGTGGCGTCATTCAATAACAAGAAAAACAGCTGATGAAAAGACGTTTATTTTATTGAGACATTAAATACACTGTATTTTTTCCCCCAAACTTAGAGTGGTTGGTAATACATGGCCTTTGAATGAGATGTTTGCAAAAATAAATATCCCATTTCCCTCTATACAGGGAAGTCTGGTCAGTTTTGAAAATTTTTGAAAAGGTTGTGCAAAGGGAACACGGGAAAAAAAGCAACTTAGACAATAAATTATTTCTTACACAAATCTTTCCTACAAATAGGACAAAACGCAGAGACATACCAGATTTTTTTTTTCACATTTCTAAGACATTTACTTACATCAAAAGAAAACTAAACCACAAAAAAGATTAAACAGAAAATTCCCTAAACGATAGATTTGTTTTGTTCGCGCAGTTTCAGTTCATTAAAAGTGACTCTTTTGCATTGGAAAAAGTACAGACACGCTCGACAGTTCTGCAGCGAGATTCCACGGATCACCTTTCTTTAAAAGCTGCAGGTTTGCACAAGTATCAGGCATTTGTAAAATGCAATTTAGAGACATGATGCATTTGAGTGCATGCATTTTGTTCCGTATATGACACGCATTCAAATGCATTTCACTAGGTCCCACTTAACAGGTAAAATCCGAGTTATTAACACTCCTTGCACCCCACCCAAGCCCACCCCACCCCACAGAAGGCACATTCACCCAAAACCGGCGAGTAACTAATGGGCGGTTTTTAAATTTCTCCATTTATTTTCTGGATTACAGGCTCCCCACTGCCCACTATCGGCAGGCTCTATGACGACAGGCGGCTGAAACGGTACAAGGTACCATAGTATTGGTGCACCGTCACCCCAAGCCAGCGACCCGAGTCGCTTTGGTGGAGGTCGGCAGAGGTGCCACCAGGGACCTGACACCTACACACGGATCCGAAGCCACCGATCGGTGGCACGGGCCATCTATATCTAAAAAGGAAATAAATTAAGATGAAAATAAACAGCAGATATTGTCGATGGAGTCAAATCTACCATTTTCTAAGACTGCTGCTATCGGCTATGTTACACATTGCAGCACACAAGCCCCAAACGCCCAGCAAATCGGGCAGACGCCTACTCGACGGCCCTGCTTTCTGACGAGAGAAGCAACAACACCTACCTAATACTCCACAGAAAAACCTCGAAAAACATTTTTTTAGTTACACTTTTTTGATTCTGGAATCCTTTTCCGGCAGAAATCAGATGAATCGAAGCATTTAAAGCACATTTACAGGAGCAAAATGAACCCATTCTACTGCAGAAACCACAGTCTATATGAGGAACACATTACACATGCATAAAACGCAGGGGAAAAAAATCCCAGGCCTTTCCCCCTCCCATTAAAAGAATAGAAAAGTGCCCACACTGATTGATAGTGTGGCTGAGACCAAGACACAGCAGTATAGAGGAGGACACTGGCATTTAAGACTGAAATAGAGCACATTCAAGTGGTGAGCTGTAGCCAAGTACAGTAATAGTAGTAGTTTCATGTGGTCTGCTTTATTTAAGGCATCTAAACGGACAGACAATAGCACACGGGGAGAAATTTTACTCCACTGGCTTCAGGACGGAAACCACGTCCTTTTGGCAAATCCATCACCCCCGACTGCTGCCATTTCAGACCTGAACCAGTCCAGGCCTGACATTCCCCCCTCCAACATCGGAAGCCCAGGGGCAGACAGCCTGAGCATTGAGAGAGCTGAATGCCGAGGGGACACTACATCTGGACGGCGAGGGGGGGGGGGGGGGTCCTGCAGACCAGTGGCCAGCTGCAGTAAATCAATAACACAGGGGTGACAGAAAATGACTGTCACATTCAGGATGGGGGTGAGCTGGGCTTCATCAGACAGGGGGTAGTAAGCCCCACAGCAGCCCCCCCCCCCCCACAGAAAACCCTCGCCACTGGCCTGACCAAATGTATCCCTATTAGTGTTACAATGAGTGAATCACAGCAGAAACACATAGGTGTTTGAGATGAACAGCGACCCGGAAGTAAAAAATTCAAAATCTGCCCGAAAAATAATGCTTGTATATGCATTTATGTGAAATGAGAAGTGAAACCCTGGAATTTGGGGGCTCAGACAGTGAGACGCGTGTGTGGGTCTCCGATTCAGGCCTCCACGGTAACCGATTCAGCCTTGCTACAGTACCTTGCAAGTTCGGCCTATCACAGATAAAATGAAGAAGCACCATCAAAAACCCTGGCCAGCTATTGGTTCCTTCTGATGTCCATCACTCTAAGCATGGCCAATGAGCGGTTTGGCAGTGGGTGAAACAAGGCAGCAGACTGTATGCATCCTCATACGTCAGAGATCTGAGTCACCTTCATTATCGCTGGCCTCAGCATCAGGGCTTCCAGATAAATACATGCGAATAACAGAACCACGTCTGGCCAGCAGAGCCCCAGGCACGGCGGCTCCGACACTCCCGGCAGCGTGACGCTCTGCACACGGCCTGTAACCGCCAACAGTAGCCTGCAGAAGCATTTCATTTTCCAGCTACAAGAGGAAAAATTTGGCCAAGAACGAGACTTCACATGGTAACCAATCCACATACTACACAAAGGGTCGATACATGAGCGGAGGTCCTTGAAATCACAGGCCGGTGGTCAGTGTCCGTGGCTAGGATGCGGCACGCGAGCGGTCGTACTCCGAGATGAGCACCTTGATGTGCGACAGCTTCCGGTGCAGGTACTCACAGCGCTTCTTCTCCTCCCGGTAGTCGGGGAACTTCTGCGGAAGCAGCACAGAGCCAGCAAAGGTCACCGGGGGAAAAACGGCAAGGGCCGCGTTTTTCGTAATTTCGTTTGTCACCTAAAACCGCATGCAGTGATATTTACGCACTGCAAGCCCTGACTCACCCTACCCACAATGCCTCACCTTCTTATACTTCCTGTACTTGTCCAGGATCTGATCCTCCATAACCTGAAAGACACAGCAGTGTGTTTAGAGGGACACCAGGTGGCAGCAGCCGAACAGCCCCCCCCCCCCCCCCCCCACCCCCCCACCACCGCAAATGACGTACCTTATACTCCTTGGTGCCGGGCGACAGACTCTTCATCTTGGAGCCCAGCTGTATGAACATCTGCGTGATGCTGCCGATGCGCGAGTGCAGGTCCCTGTACTCCTCATACTCAGCGCAGAAATCGTCACTGTACTTCTGTCGCTGCCCCAGCTCCGTGATGGTGATGTAATTTCTGACGGGAAGGGGGAGGGGGGAGAGGGGTAGTGGCGTAAGCTACCACGCCAGATGAGTCATCTGCAAGCCTTTCTTTGGAGTTGGGAGGCAGCAGTGATTCATGAAAAGCAGCAGAACCATGCGACTCACGTAGCTAAGGGGCGTGATGGCATTTGCTCTCTATCCTGAACTCGCTTGCTGTTGGGTAAGTGCTCAGGCAGCCTGAGCCAATTCCTCAGAAAATATGTTCCAACCCAGAAATATGTGAGCCCCCACTTTGAATTCACCATGATAAATATTTAAAAAATTTATAAGCTTCCAGACCAAGATTCACAGCCTGACTATAAAAAAAATGTGTATAATTATCACCATTGGGAATTAATCCTAATGTATTTCATTCAATAGCTAAAGAAATACAATAGTAATTACACAAATTCTGCACTCATATTTTTGTTTTTTATTTTATTTTATTGAGCAGATGCTTTTATCTGAAGCGACACAGAATTGAGAAAGCGAGGTCAGACAGCGCCTGTGAGGGCGAGAGTCTTTCTCAGGGGGCCCGAGGGTAAAGTGACTGCTGACTTCATTTGGCACCTTTCCGATCGCGGACAGAGTCCCAACCTGCAGAGCTACACGCTGTATGGGAAATATACACTTAGCCCTATACAATGTCACGGAAGTAGATCGTTTTGAGATACGTTCCATGTTTGTTTTTGATTCAAGCATTCACTCAGCTTTTAAAGCAAGACGGAATGTAAATACATGTAAGGGCATATGAAAGATGAATTGTAATTTCCAAATTTTAGTTTACAACAGTGATGAGACAAACTGAGTTGTTTACTTATGTGTAAACAGAACTGGGGGGGGGGGCATTATATTCAGCTGTCATTCAGTCACCATATCAGCTTTGAAATCGAGAGCTATTCAGTGACAGCGCAATGACTTTTCTGGTCTGTAGGTGGCAGTAGTGATGGGGCACATAAGAGCCCTATAGCGTCCACAGCACAGCTCTGCCAGACAGATGGATTCTCAGACACTGCAGCACATGTTTTCTTTCTCTGAACGGGTCTGTCTCAAGACATATATGCCAACCTCTTAGCTATTTCTATGGATTGACATGCAAGTATTAATATCGCCAATAGCAAAGTGAATTCTTGGGTGCAGTTCCATTTAAAAACAGAGACTGCAGCATTTTAAACAATGAGATGCCCTGATAGACGCTGACAGCACATGGGAATGTTATAGAATGTGGTCAGTCCTTCTCGGTTAGATAATGAACAGGAATTGTGCGATGTGACACACGTCTGTTTGATCAGATGGAGAAATGGGGATTTCTCTTCCCACAGCCATTTATAAAAGCAGAACTGTGTAGTATATATTCTTTGCTTGAGTTAATCAGAGACACCAGCTAGGAACTGAATAGACTGAATCTCTACACACATGCATGAACATCATTCAGGGTACAGTGAGATGCCTGTTTTGTGCAGACATTGTATGTGACAGTAACACAATGGTGACAGCAGATGCCCCCGCCCACACAACAGCCCCGCCCTCACACTGGCCCCGCCCACACACTAGCCCCGCCCACACAGCAGCCCCACTCACATCAGGTAGTCTGGGATCTCTGTGGGGGTGTCTGGGGAAGCCGGTTCGCTGGCCCCTTCATGGCCTGGAGGCAGAGACAGATAAAAAAAGGGAGTATATCTGAGCTGTCAAGGCGAATGTGACGCGCTGATAAGGGCGGGTGGGTGGACTCATCCATCACTGCAGACAGAGGCGGCCAGGAAAGGGGGGGGGTGCCTTTACGGGGTGGGGGGGAGGCTTTACAGGACGGCTGAAACACAGTCAGCACTCATTAACAGAACATCATGAAACGTGGCAGAGGATGTAGGGGTTGGAGGGCAAGTGTGTGCACACACACACACACACACACACACACCTGTACTCATATCTTTGGAGGACCATTCATTTCTAAGGGCAAAACCCTAATCCCAATTTTTTTTTTGATAGTTTTATAAAACTGAGGTTTATCCTTGTGGGGACTGAAGAAAATTACCTGTTTTTAACACATTGTAGGGAAATCTGGTGCACAAAATGAATGAAAAGAATTACAGAATTGGATGCGAAAGCACACACACACACACGCACGCACGCACGCACGCACGCACGCACACACGCACACACGCACACACACACACACAGGATGCTGCATATGACTGATGTAGACCCCGGGAGGCTGGTCCCTGCGCCTTTAAATACAACTTTAAAAACCAGATTTGCGAGTTTACTGCCTGGGGGGGAGGGGAGGGGGGTCTCAGTGCTCACTGGCTTTCCATCATTATCTTCACTAACAGTTGCATCACACGCCTGCATGTCTACAGCGATGGCTGAATTGCGGGCGTGAGCCCATCCCCTCCCGGTGTTCGGCACGCCTACCATCCAGGGGCTCCAGGCCCCGCTTGAGGTCCGGGCTGGCCTCCGGCCTCTGGCTACCGTCACCCTCTTTCACACGCTCCTTCTCTTTCTCCTTGTGCTTCTTGGACTTCCTCTTCCTGTGCAGGCCGCCCACAGGCTGCATGTCGTCCGCCAATCCCGGGTCAGGCCTTGGCAGTGGCGGTAGCGGTAGCGGCTCTGTGCTGGGTAAGGCGGAGGGGGCGGAGCCACGGTGAGCCAGCGAGGCGTCGCTCTGGCTGGCAGGTCTCTGTGATGGCTGGGGAGCACGGAAGCCGGAGCTGGGAGGGACGGGGCCCCCGCGGCTGGCAGAAGAAGCCAGGGCCTCGCCTGCGGAGGTGAGCGGAGCCGGGGGCCCATGCTCAGGCCGGGCTTTCTTGTGGCCCTGGGCGTCGGGTGGGTCGGACGGCACAGAGCGTTTCTGTCGGACAAGAGAGACAGTGAGTGTCCCAGCCAGCTGCAGGTCTCGCGATTCACAGCCTCGGAAAATAAACCAGGCCGGCTTCCTACACTCCCGCTGCGAAGCCGGAAAAAAATAAAGAGCGCACATAAAGGGGCAGTTCTCTCTCCGCCCCGGGGTGTGAAACTCACCGCTGTGAGATTCCTGACAGAGCCGGGGGGCGAGGGGGCGTCCCCGGGGGCCCTGTGGAATGAAGGGCTCGGGTGCGGCGGCTTCCACTGGCTGCTGCCCTGCAGCTTTCTGAAGAACAAGGAGAGATTCAGGCCGCGCCGGCAGGGAGGGAGGGGCGATGGCCAGGGTCCGGCCGGAGCCCAGGCGTGTCAGGCAGTGGCTAGGGACCACAGACGGACTACAAGCAATTCCCCTCCCTTTTCCAAATCCACCATGGTCCTGGCTGAACATAACCGGAAAACAAGGCACGCACGCATGGCCCTAATGGTCCCAGAGAACCGTCCAGAATGTGTCTCCACCTACAGTAAACCGTTTGTTCACAGGTTGCTCCAGGTGCCAGACCAGGCCCCCATCAAGCAGGTAACAAAAAACTAGGTCACATGATCCCCTCAATGACCCTCATCCACTAGGAGGCCAATGAGCTTCCTGCAACTTCCTCGGGATGTCACAGCACCCACTAGTCAGAGTCACTCTCGATGGACAGACCCCACCTGTCTCTAAAGGAGAGGATGGAGAGGAGCTTGCAGAGGGAAACTGATTATTCAAACAAGTCACTGGCCCCGGGACATCAGAACTATCAAAAGCAAGAGCCGTCTCTAGTGACATTTCTGAGAATTAATCTTCTGGAATCGTCAACGGACTGTTTGAGGTGGTTGGGGGGGGGGGGGGGGATGAGGGGTTGATAGAATTTGCTTTGGTGAATAGGACACTGTCTGGTGGGAAAAAGAATTAACTGACAATTAGGAGTTCAAGATAATCAAATCACAGCACTGAACCACTGAAAGGCAGAGCTACTCCTGTAGTACACATACACACACACAGACACTTGCACGCACACACGCAGGTTGTTCATGATATCTTTGTGGGGACTCATTTCCATCATTTCATTCATTCCATGTTTCAATCCCAACATGACGACCTTAACCCCTGCCCAGCCCTAACCTTAACCATAAGTAACTAAACAAAGTACAAGACTTTTGGCATTGTTTGTTTTTGGACTGAATCCACAGATATTGGTGGGAACCTGAAAAGGTCCCCGCAACATCAAAATTACAGGTTTTATTACATTGTGGGGAACATTAGGTCCCTATAATATAACATAAATATAATCCACACACACACATTGGAGGCTTAGAAATCAGCTCCAAGGCGTCTGCCTGGACAGTAACTGGAGAAGAGTGATCACCCTAAACCCAAAACCCCTTAGTGGGGGGGGATGGTGTGGGGGGGGGGGGGGGGGGATTTTACTCTTGTAAAATGGCTCATTTTAAGCTTTGCTCTTTGGAGCTGTGATCTTTCACCAGCCCTCTGCTCTGACATGCAATTCACCAGTCTGTCTGCTGAAAACTGCAGCAGTAACTTTAATTCCAGCTGAAATGAGGCCGTCCATAGGCTAAACACATGTAATTGCCAGAAAAGTCACTCTGTGGGACGAGGGCAACTGACTAGACTTAAATGGATAAACTAAAACCTTGCATGCATCAGATAACTGGATTTTCTGGTGTAAACATGAGCCAGTTGTCAACAACTGTGTAAAACAAAAAAGGCAGACTGTGATGCTAATGCTAAAATCTAGGACATCCACAACAGAAAATTATAATGCTAACAGCAAGGAAATACACCCGAATTCTGAGTACATCCATGTAAGCAATGCTGCTAATGCTAAAAGTAAAGGATGCTGTGCAAGGGACAGCACTAATGCGAACTGAGAATACAGCCATGCAAGTAATGCTGCTAATGCTAATAGTAAGGGAGCTACAGAGGTTCTTCCACTAATGCTGAGTACAGAAAGATAAATAATACCGCTAATGCTTAGAGTAATGAAGCTACAGAGGTTATGCTGCTGACAGTGAGTACAGCCATGTCAGCAATGCCGCTAATGCTAATAAGGAGGCTACAATGGCTATGCCACTAATGCTAACTGTGAGAATAGCTATGTATGCAATGCTGCTAATGCTAATAGTAAGGAAGCTACAGAGGCTGTGGTATGAAGGTGTATGCTAAAGGTAAAGGAAGCCACATGTGTCATGGTGCTAATGTTAATTGTGAGTACAGCCATGTCACCAATGCTGCTAATGCTAATAAGGAAGCTACAGAGGCTATGCCACTAANGCTAACTGTGAGTACCTCCATGTCACCAATGCTGCTAATGCTAATAAGGCAGCAACAGAGGCTATGCCACTAATGCTAACTGTGAAAATAGCTATGTATGCAATGCTGCTAATGCTAATCGTAAGGAAGCTACAGAGGCTGTGGCGCTAAAGGTAAAGGAAGCCACATGTGTGATGATGCTAATGTTAACTGTGAGTACAGCCATGACAGAGACGTTGCTACCGCTAATAGCAAGGGACTCGACCTTGCCAGCAGCCTGTGGACAAGCTGTCGCTCCTCCTCCTGGTATCCGGGCCAGTCCTTCTGGACCTGCCTGTAGAGCTCCTCCTTCAGAGTGAAGCTCTGGTCCTTGGGGTTCAGCTTGGCGACCTGCAGCAGAGTGGAGAACAGCAGCTCTCAGACCCAGCACATGGCTAACATGCTCGGTGAAAGCCCCGAGCAGAATCAGCTCTGCATCTGCACTGGCTAACTATTAAAGATTATTAAAATGCAACGGCGAGATGGGTATTAAATTCTTGTGATGAATAATTCAAACACACCAGCAGTCATTACATGAGGATAATTAGCAATGCTTTTAAATTATTCACAATTTATGATGAATTTGGAGCACAACATTTTCCTCAGAAAGGATGTCTCCACCTGACCTTATCACATCCCAGAAAGAGAGAAAATGATTAAAAATACCCACATCTATCCAAACATGTCACAGTCAACTCTCCATCCAGCTCATCTGCACAACCGTGTGCACAAATAATCCCTGCAGTCCTACCAGAAGCTTCCTCAATTCCCTCTTGGCATTTACCCAGAATTCCCCCCAAAGGAGTGATGAGATATTAATCGGTCTTGCTCATGTATACAAATTCAAACCACAGATAAATACGGGTTTATACGCAGTGCACTGACGCAAGAATGTGTTCTACTCTTCATCACTATGGAAACAGCAGGGGGTTTGGGGGGGCATCTGAAAGATACTCTGAAGTCATGTCCTGCTTAGACACCAGTATGTCACCCTGGGCCTGTGTGTTTGCCCCTCCCACCGCTCTTCTAGGCCTGCCCCTTCCCACAGACTCAGTCCACCCGGGCAGCGGGCCGTAGCCAGGCCGTACCTCCTCCAGCACGGTGCTCAGGTCGGCCTTGTCCCTGGGGGCGGCCCGGTCCCTCTCCAGCCACAGCAGCAGCTCCGGCTTGCGGTAGGGCTTAAGGGCCAGCAGGTGGATGAGGCGATCCCGAAGGGGCCGCACAGCCGTTGGGCCCCCCGGAGCTCCCACGCCGGTCCGCCTGCCGTTGGGGGAGTGCCTATGCGAGCCGTCCATCCCACTGGGAGGTGCTGGCCTCTTCTGGATCCGTACACACTTGCCTGCAAGTCAAATCAAAACAATTCTCCATCACTCTCCCTCGGGTCAAAAGGGAAATCGTTTTTCAAATGAATGTTGAATCCGATTGTTTTCCAAAACTTTTGGTCTCCTGGGGAAGTTAAAGCAAGAGGGCAAAGCAGAGTGTGGTATCTGTGGAGACCAGAGGAGGAGCTTACAAGATGCCATCAGAAAAGAACAGCACTCATCCTCAGATGTTAAACAGAGCCCTCACCCTCTTCATCACGCTATGGGGGGCTTACGCGCTTTACCCGGGTTCTACACGGCTGGAATTCCTGCACGACTACAGGACCAGGACTGGCTTTCATACAACATACCTGCTTCCACAAATCTACAACCTTTGGGTTCAAGACCTAGATCTATGACAGGACTATTACTTGTGTTATTAACCAAGATGTACCACCACCACATAGTCAAAAGGGGGCGCTGCAGTGCGGGGTGTGCCGTCTGTCCAAACAACAGCTCGTCTGTCTTTACTGACAGTTCGCTAAACACGCAGATTTGCCTTGCACTCCAACTATGTGCTTATTCTTATTAATACACAGGATGAACACTTTATTGCGTGTTATGTACACTCAGCCAGAGATTTCATTAGCCCTGACTAGAATTAGGGGCTGGAACACAGATGGATGGATGCGAGTCCAACTCATAACTCCTGCCCTTCCTGGACCATCGACGGCTGAACAGCGCTGCGATTGCAAGGCCCCTGCTTGGTGGAGAGCAGAGACACGGCAGACGGGGGGGGGGGGCTGTTAATCACTACGCCACATGTTTGTGTTGCGGGGACGTTTCCAAAGGGAACGCTGAAAGCTCACATTTAAATATTTATTGGAAGCGTGAAATCAAAAAGTTCAGCCTGAGACAATCCAAGGCCAGCTGTAAGGCTGGATGCAAAATTAGTTATTTTGGGTGATGGTGGGGGGGGAGGGGGGAGCTGAATGTGCATAATCTGCCAAGTGCACAAATGTTAGCGCTGTGAACTAAAAAGCTTTACATATCCAGAACTACCACTTTCAATATGGCCTCAAAAACTTCCAGACAATAATGTCAAGCCGTGAGACCAACACGTTTCGCCCCAATGAGGTACATCTAAAATTGAACAAAAACGCATTTTAATTCACACATTTTAATTGTAACACCGTTCAGGAAATTACAGTAATGCTGAATAAGTTATAACTGTTCCTTTTTTAAAGGACACTGGTGTGTTCTGTTCTCACTGTACTTGCGGTTAAATCGCGGCCAGCGCTGCTGGCTCATTATGAAAGATGGTTTCTTTGTTTACAGTCATCCAATTGCTCTTGATGTAGCAGCAAAGGGGTTTCTCCCCGTAAACCGTAACACCGGGGTCAAATGCAAGCGGCCCGTTGAGTGCAGAACCCAGCGCAGAGCGGCGCCCCACTTACAGAAAGCTGCGGAGAGCGCTCTGCGCGGCTCCCACTGTGTAAACACGCGTGAATGTCAGCTAGGGTTCACCTTCTTTTGCTTTCGCTTCATTCATGGTAAATTCTCACCCTACTAATGGGGGGGGGGGGTCACATGTACAGGGCCTTCTCTTTGCTCACATGCTCTGGGAAGGGGGGGGGGTGCTGTATTCTCAGGACAGAGTGTGATTTCCCCCACCTGACTGAGTCACAGGTTAGTCAGAGAATCACGTTATTACGTAGCTAAATCAGGCAAAGAGATGCAGAGCATTTAACGTAAACATATGCCCACCTAGCTTAGGGCACCCTCCAGCACTGCAGACCCCAAACCAATATTACAGAATCAGGACTGGAAGACAGCTTACTGGGATGTGTGGAGCCAGGCTTGATCTCGATGGCCGACCGGCTCCAGATGTCCTTCTCCACTTGTGACATTCGCTCGCGCGTCACCTGGTACGAGTCGTCGGTGGCACACACCGTGATCTTGTCCTGGATGCTGCCCTGGCCCTCCAGCTGCTCCCGGCCCTCTCTGGGCACCGAAAACAAGGTCAGTCGGCCGCGCCAGTCTGACGCTGCTCTAAATCTCCTTCCTTTATTAAGCGGGATCTCCCCACAACTACACAGCCCTGTTTTTACAGAGGAGATTCATTTTAAGCACTGTACTGAAGCGGGGCTTCTCTTGGGATTTAAACCAACAACCTTCAGGTTATGAAATGGTGCCCTTAACCACTATATTATCAGCTAGTTTGCTGCCTCCCTCCAGTCACGAAAGGCACAGAAACCACGATTTGGTGCCCAGCAGAGTGTGCTGGCACGACCTGGATGGATCAATGATAGAACGTCCAGGAGCAACCAGAAGGGGGCCGGGACACGTCCACCAGGGAGGCAATTAATGAGTAATGACGTGTCCCGTCTGAGGTGGCGCTTTAACGAGGGCCCACGCGTTGGCTAAGCAATGGATAACCGGACCTGTGAAATATTTAACCGGCGGTATCCAGTGGCAGCCTGCCGGAAGGTTCTATCGCCTGACGTCTGGAGTACCGGCGCTCTGTTCTGTGTACACCAGCCGTAGGTCACTAGCAGATTGATTGGAGGTGCCAGAATGCCTTGGGTTCATTTCAGCACAGGATAAACATTAGGTCTGCCTGTGAGGATGGTGTTTCCCACAATAAAAGGAAGGGAATTCATCCGTCTTGATTAAATACTCACCACGCTAGCTATGTGGAGTTTATGGAAGCGTTGAGCATGCTAACACACAATGAAGGTGGGGGGGGGGGGGCTTTTTACAGCCCTCACAGCAGGTGCTGTGGTGAGCTCTGGACATTTGTGTGCGTGTGGTTGGCTCGATACCATGAGGGAAGCTTAATGCCCTCCTCACCCACATGGGGGCGCTAATCACGGCGTCACCGAGAGGGAAGAGCAAATACTGGAGCAGGGCGATGATAACAGCCATTAAAGACCCGTTACGGTACGAAGGAAGGATCACAGGCCACAGCAGTGCCACGTTTAAGCAGAGACATCCTGTACTGGTGTGTGCTGGACATACTGGGCCGGGGTTCTAGTACTGCTTACCCAGAGACATACTGATGAATGCAATCCAAGCTGGCTTGTGGTTTGTCCTTGCTGTCGCTGGACAGGTAGAAGGAGAAGAGTCTGAATCCGTCTGCAGAGTCTGCACACGGGGCCGGGATCTTGATGTACTGCAGAGTGAGGAAACAGGGACTACAGTCAGAGTTCATCCTGAGAGCCGTGGAACATGACGTGACCGCGGCATGTGACCATCACCAGCTGCCACATCTGACGACTATGATGTTCTCCATCTTAAGCCAGCCGTCACACAGACGGGCCTCTGCCCTCCAGCTCGCCCTCCTGCTCCAGGACACACACTCAAGCCTCTTTCTCATTACCAACGCTGGGTCATGTGACTAGCAAACCACTCCATGTTCATATGAGAAAGTAAAAACACCTGTTTAATTGGACCAGGGATTAAATTAACAGGAAGCGCAGCCGCACATCAGACGTAATTTAATCCTGACACCTCTCACCTGGAGAGACAGTGGGGGGTGGGGACAGGTGGGGACAGAGGCCACGCTGGGCTCCTGGCTCTGGGCCGGGGCAACGGGAACGTGACGCAGCGCGGACAGGAACACAGAGTGTCTGGATGAACGCCATGTACCCCTGGTGTCCTGTAGCAGGCATGATGTTCCCAAACGGCAACTAAGGTCACGCAGGCACACATGCACACACGAACACACGAGCACACGAGCACACGAGCACACGCACCCAGATGGAGATTCTTGGAGATCTTTCTGCTACAGCCAGCTGTTAAAGTGCATTTGATTGGAGGGTGTGTGCAACGGAACAGGCACGCACAGCCCCAGGAAACAGAGAGGAGACAGACCGGTCTCAGACACCAGCACGTGGTCTGAGCCCCAGGCTGACCCGGCCACTCACAGCCTTGGGCTCCGAGCCCCAAAGGGTAAATGCAAACCCACTGAGGTCTGTCAGCCAGCCAGCCAGAGCCTCACTCACGGTCATTCACCGCCACGCACGAGCATATGCGACAGCCCAGGCAGAAGGCATCATGAAGAACGATCAAATCCTACACCATCACAGCCCCTGGTGACATGGGGTGCTGGCATCTCCTCTCCACAGCCTGTCAGTGAACCCTGAGACATGGCTGCAGAGTGTGTCAAAGTCACCAGGCCGAAAGATGCAGACGGGTCCGGGTCCGACATGCGTCCACACGGCCATCACAGCAGTCACCGTTCTCCATTGCTCTTTGGCTCATTTTTGGGAAGGGAAACTTCACACTGATAGTGATAAACACTCTCGAGGGAAGTGTCAGGTTCCTTGTGCGGCATCTTGGACTTCGTGTGTGTCCCCAGCGGCCTCGCCAGCACGGAGCTGCGGCGGACCAAAGACCATGGACTGGAGCAGACCGGATTGGGCCAGACAATGTGGTCACCGGTAACTGCAACATTACCCGGCCTGCTGTGGGCTGCTTCTGGGAAAGTCTCCCCAGCAGAGGACAGATGGGAAAGCAGACAGACACACATAAACACAACCCACACAGCACACACACACATTATAGACACATAGCACCAGGCTAACAGACCCTCCACATTACAAACATTGGCCGTCAGAGCCAAGACAGTTTCCCCCACAGGCAGATTCCCTTCCAGCTGATCACTCTGCAGAGGCCAGAAGGTCGTTTGCTTTACGCATATCCACACAAGCAGGCCCTTGCTTGCGTAACCAGCAGAGACGGCGCCCCTCCTGGCCAACCCTCAAACCTCTTGCTGGCTGTACACCCAAGCTGAGTCCCTGGTTTCTCCGTCACTTACAGAGCAGCCCAACAGATGCTGAGAGACTCAACGGCTTATCAGGCTTACAGCTGGATGCTGCGATCGGCAGGGTCCATCCACACAGTATTAACCTTGAAGACAGCAGCTATCGAGACAGAGCCAGAGACTAAGGGGACAGGCCATCCTCGGGGACAAAGACAAACAGCAGGGATGGCCTGTCCTTGGGGACAGAGAATGCAGGTACAGCTCACCTTCGGGGACAGAGACAGAGACTGAGAGAACAGCCCTTCTTCAGGGGCATAGATTAAGACCACGGAGACGGCCTGTCCTTTGGGACATAGATGGCCCATCCTCAGGGTCACAGACCATGGGGACGGCCCATCCTCAGGGACAAAAACAGTGGGGAGGGCTCATCCTTGAGGACAGAGAGAGAGAGAGAGAGAGAGAGAGAGAGAGACTTGTCCTTGGATAGAGTGACAGAGAACACAGGGATGGCCCACATCCCATCCTCAGGCCTGAGAGTCTCCTTACCTCTGTACAGTAGCTTTATCATCACACCATTCACACAGAGGTATTAAGGGAGAAGCCAGGTCCGCAGTGCAACATACAGACAGATAGGGAGTCTATTGCGGTTGTGTGAGGTAATATCAATATCGCATGTTATGCACATGCAATTGTCACATCGCAAGAACTGCAGTAGCTCGGCTGAGATCAGGCTTTTTCATACCTTCATACTGTCCGGACATTATACATACAGTAAGTCCCCCGGTTATAAATGTCTGACTTACAGACAACTCGTACTTAGGGACCGACTGGCATGGAGCCTATTATACTAAAAATGTGAGTCAAATGCGATGGAAAACACTATAGTTTCAGTAGTTTGTCAGCTCAAGGAAAGAGAATGCCGTCTACCGTTTTAAGGTGGATCATGGTGTTGTTAGCACTGTTCTGACATGCCTACAAATTCGACAAAGATTAGGAACACATCTCGTTCATAACCCAGGGACTGCCTGTGTATGGTATTTTCAAAAACAACATTATTTTGCAATATAGTTCCAATATTTTTGAATCTTATGATAAAATAAGTGCACCATGATAAGATTTGCCAAACAGAGACCATAAATAAGTTTCCCTAAAACAAAATTTAGCAACCTTTGCAATTTTACTGATTGAAAAGGAACAATATTACCTACTGTATGTTAAAGGGTCTACAGTTTACCCCCCTGCTTTTGCAAGAGCTCTGCATGCACTCTCCAAGACAGTCATAAGCATTCTCATCCTTGCTGTGACTCACTCATAGATATTGAGGCACGTTTGTGAGAAATTTAACAAAAATGTGTGAGAAAGACAATAGTGAACAAGAACTGGTCATGAAAAAGTATTCGTCTTTCGCCGTACGGAAATATTTTGCACTCCACAGAGATTGTACTGAGCAAAAACAACTTATGAGACAGACTCTATTGGTAGATAACTTAAGTTATTGTCTACCAATAAGTTCCGTTTCGCTTTAGTTTATTTTGGGTACATTTTCAGCTCCTTTTTTGCTTTATAAATATAAGGTGATGTCACTCCTCACAGTACTGGACAGATGGGGGGGGGGGGGGCAGTAACCTTCTCACCTATGCCCTTTGACCTTGTTTTGACCCCGGTTCATAGAAGTGAGGAGGAACAAACAGCTTCTCAGCTGCCCTCGGGAAAGGAATGCTGGACAGTACCGAGAATCAGCAATTCACCCGCCCTATGTCACGGCCAACCCTACGAAAGCCCTTTCCAGCTCTATCCGACCCTTTCCAGCTCTATTCAGCCTTTTCCAGCTTTTTCTATGCCATTTAGAGATCTATCCAGCTGTTTTCAGCTTTTTCCAGCACCATTTGACCTTCTCCAGATCTATGGATCTATCCAGATCATTTAGAGCTCTATCCAGCCCTTTCCAGCCCTATCTGGCCCTTTCCGGTGACCTCACTAAGGCCCCCCATTAAGTGTTTATGGTAGATCTATGCTTTTGGGTTGAGTTCCTTCATTCTTATCAAAATGCAAAAGGTTGTAGAACACTGTCACTACAGGCAACAAAGTATTCAGGAGAAAAACAGCCTGCCCATCACTGAATATCTCCCTGCTACCTTCAAATACCATAGACCTTCATAGGCAAGTAAAACTATAAAAACAGACATATGTGGGCAGACAGTAGCATGTGAAATAAACGTAAATATCAATTAAGTGCAGCTCTTTCGGGCCTCCTAAGGGAATCAAGTAACAGATTAACAAGCTTGGAAGAAGCTGGAGAATTTGTTTGCTTTGGTGGCTGGTCCACCAGATAAGAGAGCTTCATTACATGAAACATGAGCAGAGATTGCTAATAAACTGAAAGGACAGGCAACCACGGGGGGCATCATACTGACGGTTTCCAGGAACAGCAAGATGAGGGTCCCATCTGCCTCTGAGCCTCTTTACGGGAGGGTGAGTGATGCAAAGGACCAGCTAAAAGTTATCAATAGAGGCAGAGACATTGCCCCTGCAGCAGTGCTGGCCCTGCCCCCAATAGACAGCACCCCCCCCCCCCCCCCAAGAAACAACAGAAACATGTCGCACGTCAAACTGAGCAGGAACAATGAAATATTTATGTTCTCCTTTCACTGGGGTTGGCTTTTCGTCACCTTTCTGTGCAGGGGGGCCCTAATTCTGTGAGGGGGGAGGGGGGTGCTGTGCATGTGTAGGAGCAACAGGCCCCTGGACAGAGTCCCCACGTCCACAATTAGCCCCCCCACACACGCACACACTTCACCTTCTCGTTATAATCTGCGTCAGCCAGCCCCACCCACTGTGGCTCCGCCCACTGGAGCTCCAGCCGCCCCCCTCACTTCTTCCTACATCTTCATCAGCACACTTCACTTAACTCAGTGGCGCCTCCCTGTGGCTGGCTGCCATCCCTGCAGATGTGGGGAGCCCGTTTTAGCCGGTGTTCCACTGACGTGAGGGAGAAGACAAAGCTGTTGAAAGACCCGGGGTCACTGACCAAACACGGGAGGGGGAGGGAGGCCAAGAGAAGGGGGGGCATACTAGGGGACCAGCTAGTTATACGATTCGGTTTGGCCAATCACTGGCCTGAACCAGTGAACCAGTGGTGAACCAGTGGTGGCCAGGTAAACACACACTCTCACTAGACTGCACGGTCATTTGGTAAAAGGGTCAATGCTCACTATCCAAAGTCCCCCATCCCCTTAAAGTCACGCCTCCCATTATGCCAGAGTAGGGGGCTCACGTCAGCGCATGGGCCAGTCTACACAAAAAGTCAGGGTCACATGACCCCATGTGGCAGTTAGGATGGAGCAGCGGGGGAGGGGTGATTAACGTTATCCCCCTGAAGACAAAACAATGTTTCTTTCCTATCCTATGGATGAGTTCTCCTCACAGATTGTACAATACTGGAATGAAGAAAATGAACAAGTTTACAAAATACACAGTGTATCAGCCACTGCCTGCAGAAGTGTGGTAGGGTGCGCGCACACGCACACACACACGCGCACACACAAACAAAAATGCATTCACACACAGACCTGCAGACACATTCGCCAAACCCGCACAAACAGACAGAC